CTGTAGCAGTTCGGGTCATTCACAGTCTCCTGCCCTTTGTAGAGGAGCTGCACACCCTGAGGTGAAACTGTGGATTTCATGAAGCTGTTCCACTTCACAAAGGAAGGAAGAGGACGGTGGTATTCACATCCTTTCCCCAGCTGGCGTTTAGTTGCGTTTTCAAAGAAAAAAACAAACAGCTGTGACTCAGGCCTTGTCCTGTCCCATCAGGCATGTTCCTGCAACAGAGCAGTGACTAAATTTGAAATATTTTTTCATCTCCAGTGTGAGTGCTCAGGGGCAGGGAGGTCTGGGAGTGTTGCTGCTTGTAGCTTTCAGTGGAAAAACATGAGTTTGGGTCATGGCTGAGAATTGCCTTTGGAAACAGCTTTCGGGTCCTAAGTCCATGTCAAATCCTCCAGGCATCAATCTTTCCCTTTCAAGCATTTCCTTCTGCCTGACTTTTCCTGGTGAGGTCTGTGTGTCCCCTTTTGCCAGGTGCTTGACTCCATGCCTTGGCATTGCAGAAGAAGGCTGAGCTGAAGGATTTCAGGAGATTGGTGCCATGGCTGATTTCCACGTTGGCCTGAGAAAGTGTGATTCCTGGGAGAGACAGGAGACTGGGGCCCATCCCAGCAGGGCAGGGAGCTGGGTGGGGAGAAGCAGTAGCACAGGAATGAGCACCCTGACAGAGAGAGGTGGAGCTGACAGGGGTTGTGTGGCTCAGAGAGATGGAACGCTGTGCTGGCCCGACCGAGGTTGTGGGTTCGAACCCCCCTGTTTGCCAGCCCCACAGCGCGGCTGCATCCGAGCTTGGCTCCGAGCAGCCGCATGCAGCAGCGGGCAGGCCCCGTTCCTGGGGACGCCGCAAGCTCTGGCATCGCTTGGCCCGTGCCATGGGGCGAGCAGCTGCAGCAGTAGCTTGTGCCTGCCTCATGGGAGACACTCGTGGTGGTGGTGGATCCACCACAGTGTTCGCTGCTGCTGATGTTACCCTGAACATTGCTTGCTGTGGTGGTAGCGCAACAATTGCCTAATTTCAGAGCCTTCATGGCCTCAACTGTGCTGGCACAGTGCAAAATCTCTCTAACATCCGGAATTTCTAAAATCTCTAATTCGGAACTTGGGACGCACATCTCCCATTTTGTTCAAATTCATTCTCCTCTAGTGCTAATCTACTCTTTTCTTACCCCCTTCCTGTTATCGCGTTCCCTCTTCTCCCTTTTTCTCCACTGTGCACTCACGCCTACCCCATTCCACAAACTCAGAGGCTCACCATCAAACCATCTTTTTCGTTTTCTCAATCTCATCTTTATGCTCTTCAAACCTGTGTTCCTTCCACTTTTTTCTCCCTATAATAACAATTGACAAGAGCCACCAGACCTCTTGCCTTTGTTTTTCCCCCATTTTTATCTCCCTATATCATAAATAAACCTAAAGAAATAATTGGGCCAGAGCATAAGAAGACAGCAAACATGCTCCACAAGCCATCCAAAACACTTTGTGGTTTCAAATGACACAATGATCCTCTGGCCACGACAAACTCTTCTTCTTGCAGTTTTGTTCCAGCAAATCATTGCATGAGAATTTCACAGCGTGCAGTTCGTTTTTGCTCTCAGCTTGACTCTTTAGGAAGATTTCTCCTGAAGTATTTTCCACAAACGTCCCTCAACTCTGCCCACAGCAGCTTACATTAACACCAAGTTGCAAATTGGGCAGGCTGAGGTACACTTGTAGTGAAAATTCCATCTCAAAGATTTTGCCTTTTACAGTTCTTTCTTTTTCCCACCTCACGGGTGAGTGCCCAGGGGCAGGGGGCTGTGAGAGAGGTGCTGCTTGCAGCTCTCAGTTAGAAAAAGGGGAGTTTGGGTCATGGCTGAGAATTCCCTTTGGAAAATGCTTTCAGGTCCTAAGTCCATGTCAAATCTTCCAGGCATCCATCTTTCCCTTTCAGGCATTTCCTTCTGCCTGACTTTTCCTGGTGATGTTCGTGTGTCCCCCTTTGCCAGGTGCTCGACTCCATCGCTTGGCAGTGCAGAGGGAGGCTGAGCTCGAGGATTTCAGGAGATTGGTGCCATGACTGATTTCCACGTTGCAAATTCAGACTGCAGCCTTTTCATCACACTGTGAGAATATTTCCTTCCCCTAATCTGCTCCCAACAGGTTTGCTGGAGCTTTCCCCTTGGCTGTCACTGCATGAGTGCTCTCCCTTGCTCCCTGTGCCCAGGCCCTGAGGCTGCAGTCTGGGAAGGTGCAGTCCAGGGAGATGGGATGCCTGAAACCCAGCTGTGATTTCCAGGCATTAGTGTGAGCCACGTGTGCACATTTCTGCTGATAACCAGCAGATTTGAGGGGGACTGCACTGGAGGAGTGCAGAAAGATGGCCAAAATAGCCTCTGTGCTGGGGGCCTTTTCCCTAGAGCCCTTGTCTTCTTCCAGAATGAGCAAAATCTGCTGGTTCTTCCTTCATGATAACTGAGGGAAAGTAATTTTGCTGCAAGCATGCTCTCTTTACATCAATTGAAAGCAGTCAGTTCATAGAAATTATGCCAAATTTCTGACAAAATAACTCTATTTGTTCAAGCAGGAAGCCTGGCAGTGTGTTTACTTGCTCTCTCCTAGCACATCTTGGGATCAGCTGGCAACTGAGGGCTACTCAGATACAGACTAATGAACCACCAGCTCTTGCAGAGCTCGGCTAAGCCCCTATGGTTTCTTCTTCACAGTGCGAACCCCTTTCAGTTTGCTTGATCATAAAAAGCCCAAAAACCCAAAAAGTCCAGGAAAACCAAACCCTTGCATGATAGGCAAGGCTGTATCCCTGCTGATTGCCAGGAACACCACAGGCAGCAGGCACAGAAATGAACTGCAGCTGAACTGGTCACACACGGGTTGATATTCTGTCCTTGGATTTCTTGCCTGTGCATCTCTGCTGGAGGGGGATGCTCCAGTAGCCAGATGTAAAAAAATGCAGATAAAATCTGGTGTGAAATGAGCATGGGAAACCTCTTGTGTTATTCCTGGAAGTGTCAGCTGAAGACAAATGTGGTGGCAGACACGGCTCAGGTGGCATCCCTGTCTGTAGCACTGGCCATGGCTGCTCCACGTCAGGTGTCTGGAGCCCTCCCCTGGTGACAGGGAAGCCCAGATGGATCCAGAATCCACCCCAAATCAAGGTCAATATTGAAGAAGGAAAGCCTGAATTTTCTTTTGGGGATGCCCATTTCATTCCATTCTCTCTGAGATCCTCACTCTTTTGAAAGAGAATCCTAGCTCGGATAGCAATTTTCCAAAAGGCAGCTGAAGTTAGAGAGGGATCCCACCCATGCCACAGAATATACCTAACCTGAAAGGAATGACTGATGATGTTCTTCATTGTTAAACAGATCTGAAGCAGATCTCTTTAAAGTGACTGATCACATTCTTCTCCAGTAGCATTATGGGAATAAGTCCAGTATGGATAGGGAAGCATTAATGTCATGTACACAAAGACATGACCAAATTAATTTTTATTGGAGCATTGTTCCAATTCACAGGGAAGGGGAACAACAGGAAGGGCCACAGCTGTGACATCAAGTCTTCAGGGGAGGGCAACTTCAAAGTCAGAACCAAAGCATACTGAGGGTATTCAGTATCTTTTAATCATTACAAGGCTTTATTAAAAGTATGTGAAATTACAAATTCCACTCCCTTTATTTTGTACATCCTAAAAATTGTAATTTGGCCAAACTGCCTTAGGTTTAGCAAGAGCCACAAGAGCCATATCCCAAATTACAGCACAGACAGTTACTCAAATGATGGGTATGAAATATGGGGGGAAAAAAAATCTATGCCTCTCCTTATATTTTGGTCTTCAATATGATTTTGCCCTGTTTGCAGATTCTTTCCCCACAAAACCCAAGATAATCTCAGGTCCAGCAGCTGAAGTGGAACTGGATTGTGAGAAATGAAACACTGGAGATGGGAGCTCTTTTTCAGAGTGCTAATTGCTAGTTAATGTTGATGAAGTTGATAGGGTCTTAATTTGAAGTGCTGGTCTGTTGTTGAATGCTGGATGTTAGAGTTCTGAGACTTGCCTTTGGTTGCCACTGTTAAGTGTTACTATCTTAACCCTGAATTTGTATCCCTTCCCTTTCCATGGGGAACCACTTCTCCTGCTTCCAGTCCATGCACCCGGACTGAATTTAATGAGGAGATGTTGGTATGACCAACGTGGTACGATATGGACTCTCTCAAAAAACAACAAACCAGCACATAAACTCTGATTTTAACCTGGCAGCACCACAGGGAATCACCCGCCATTGACCAGAGCCAGATTCCATCCTGTTACCATGACTTGAGGAGTACTCAGTCTGGATGACACCCCTAAACTACGAGCCAACATTGTCTTCCTGAGGACTCTCGTGAGGATGGAAGCCCCAGCTCTGCCGAGAGACAAAGCTGAACTCCTCCTCCTCAGTGTCGTCCTGTGGGAGCAGTGGTGGTGTGCCATACCCCTCGTGTTCCCCACCCAAGAGCTGTTCTTAAGAAAGGCCTTTTTAAAGGAGCTGGTCTCCTGACCCTGTTGATCACAGGATCCAGGGGGCTCTGATGAGATCCAGCACAGGCCCTGCTCTTTCTGGAGTCACCTGCTGCGATGACCCTGTCTGGATGCCAGGCACCCACCAAAGCCACCCTGTCACTGTCCCCTCTCGGGGGAGAGAAGATAGAGGACACAGTCACAAGCTACATCAGGGAAGGTATAGGTTGGATATTAGGAAAAAGTTTTTCACTGAAAAAACAATAAAGTACTGGAATGCTCTTCCCAGGGAGGTGGTAGAATCACCATCTCTGGATGTGTTTAAAAAAAGGCTGGACATGGCACTTGGTGCTATAGTCTACATTCTGAGTTGAGCTGTTAGGACATAGGTTGGACTCAATGATCTTAGAGGTCTCTTCCAACCTCATAATTCTGTGATTCTGTGATACAATGTCTGTGAGTGAAGGGCAGAGAAACATCACTCACTAAACACAATCATAGGTACCACTTGGGGATATTAATTGACTTTATTGCCAAGCAAATCAGAGCAGGATAAGAAGGAATAAAAGCAGAGGTGAAAAAGCCCTGCCATCCTTGGCAGCTGTGCCTCCTCCCCTCCGCAGTGCGGCTGGGGACGGGAGCGGGACTGTGCTCAGGGCATCAGCCGCTGCTCCTGCCCTGCTCCAGCGGGGCCGTGCCAGGGGCCCTGGCTGTGCCTGGAGTTGTGCCAGGGGAGGCTTGTGCAGGAATTGGGGCAGGGGGTGGGCAGCGGCAGCAGGAAAGGCGGTGCGGGTGGAGGGCAGCGGGTGCGGGTGCGGTGTGAGGCGTGCGGGGCCGTGAGGGCAGGCAGGGGCATGGCAGGGCTGGGGAAGCAGAGGCCGGCGTGAGGGCTGTGCTGGGCGGAGAGGCGGCGGGGAGCACGGGAGCGGCGTGGGACTGGAGAGAGAGGCAGGAGAGTGGTGAAGATGGGAGCGCAGTGGGAATGAAGCGAGAAGCAGGAGAGCAGGGAAGGTGCCATGAGGGCAGGCCGCGGGCTGAGGCGGCCCGTTGGCAATGAGGAGGCCGGCGGCGGGAGGCGGAGCGGACAGAGTGCCTGGCTCAGGGTGTTCGGCCGCTGCTGCGGAAGCTCCGAGGCCACCGGTTCCAATCTGCCTTCAGCGGCAGCCGCCCTCTTGGCTGTGGATGCTGTCTTCGCGGCGCAGCTGATCCGCGCCCTATCAGTGCCACTGCCCTGTAATCGGTTGGGGTGTGCCACGGTGGAAGGGCTAGCATCAGCGTCAGGCCACGGCAGAGCCTCCACATCGTCCGCGGATCATGGGCAGTGTTCGCTGGGTGGGAAGAGCAAGTACGGAAACTCTTTCGCTTAAATTCACCGCGCCGCCGGCAATCGCAGCAACGCAAGACTGCAAAGCACATACAGTTACACATCGTGGGAGACTAAATCTCCCTTTTCCTTTCAAGTCATTCTTCTCTTCCACTAACCTACTCATTTCACTTTCCCTTAGTTTCCTTTCTTCTTCTCTCTTTTGCTCCACTGCGCATCAACATCTACCCCATGCCACAAACACACACGCTCTCAAACAAACCATCTTTTTTTTTCTCAACACCCTCCCCAAACCTCTGTCCTTTCCACTTTAATTTCCCTCTAATAACAATTTACAACAGCCACAACACTTTTTGACGGTGATTACTTCCCCCCCCACCACCTCTTTTTTACTTTTACTTCCCTAGATGATAAATAAACCCGAAGCAGAGGCAGGGCGGTGAGAGCTGTGTTGGGCGGAGAGGCGGCGGGAGCGGCGTGGGTGCAGTGGGAATGGCAGGAGAGCGGGGAAGATGGGAGCGCAGTGGGAATGGCAGGAGAGCGGGGAGGATGGCACGCAGGCAGGGAAACGGGCTAAAGCAGCGCGGCAGGAACGAGCAGCCCCTGCCGGCAGGAATGAGCAGCCCGGCGCTGACAGGAGCAGCTGACTGGATGTGTGGCTCAGCGCTCTGGGGCGCTCTCCGCGAAATTCCGTCCAAGGTCGCTCTGGGGAGCTCTCCGCGAAATTCCGTTCAAGGTCGCAGGTTCAAGCAGCAGCTGACTGGATGTGTGGCTCAGCCCTCTGGGGAGCTCTCCGCGAAATTCCGTTCAAGGTCGCAGGTTCAAGTCCCTGTGCCGCCGGTACACAGCGCGGTAGGAGCGGCTCTCCGTCAGCGGCGGGCACGCGGATCTTGGAGCAGGCTATGAAATGCCCCGCGGGCGCAGGCTGTGCGCGGCGCAAAGAGAAGAGGCCAGGGTGCATGCGGGCATGGAAGAAGGCAAGCTTGAGATGGGGGCAGGCGATCTCGGCAACGCAAGACTGCAAAGGATCTCAGTGCTCTGTCCAAGCGGGAGCTGAACCATTCACTTGGCTCCCGCAACGGATGGGCACTCCCAAAGCCCCATCATGGGAGGTAAAAACTCCCTTTTCCTTAAATATTGGTGTTTACTTGCACTAATCTACTCTTTTCGCCCGGATCTTGGAGCAGGCTATGAAATGCCCCGCGGGCGCAGGCTGTGCGCGGCGCAAAGAGAAGAGGCCAGGGTGCATGCGGGCATGGAAGAAGGCAAGCTTGAGATGGGGGCAGGCGATCTCGGCAACGCAAGACTGCAAAGGATCTCAGTGCTCTGTCCAAGCGGGAGCTGAACATAAACTCAATTCACTCAGCTCCTGCAACGGATGGGCACTCCCAAAGCCATATCATGGGAGGTAAAAACTCCCTTTTCCTTAAATATTGGTGTTTACTTGCACTAATCTACTCTTTTCGCCCTCCCACCCCGTTCTTTCCTCTTCTCTCTTTTTCACCACTGCACACTCACACCTATCACTTGCCACAAACTCGGGGCTTAGAATCAAACAATCACTTTTTTCCTTATCATCATCTTTCTGCTATTCAGAACTGTGTTCCTTCCACTTTTATTTCCCTATAATAATTGACAAGAGCTAGAGACTTTTTGATGGTCCCCCCCCCCCACACTTTTATTTCCCTAGATGATAAATAAATTTACAGAAATAAAGGTCACAGGGCATAAGAAGACAGCAAACATACTCCACAAGACATCCAAAACACTGTGGTTTCAAATGACACAATGATCCTCTGGCCATGACAAACTCTTCTTGTAGTTGTAGTTCATGCAAATTCTGCATGAGAATTTCACAGTGGGCAGTTAGTTTTTGCTCTCAGCTTGACTCTCTAAGAAGATTTTTCCTGAAATATTTTCCAGAAAACTCCTTCAACTCTGCCCACAGCAGCTTACATTAACACCAAGTTGCAAATTGGTCAAGGTAGGGCACAGTTTTAGTGAAAATTCCATCTAAAATATTTTGGTTTTTCCAGTTCTAACTTTCTTTTTCCCATCTGCCTCCTCCACACACTCACTGGACTTTTCCCACGTGTTGTATCTCAGCACTGAAGTCCACAGTGGCTTTTGCATTTCCTGAGGCTGCAGCACTTCTACACATGAACCAGTTCTTGCAGAGACACCCGAGCTAGCAGTGCTGCACTAAAATGCCTCCTGTGGCTCTGCTGAACATCTGCCTTCTCTTGCCATCGGTGCATTTCCACTTTTCCCTGCCCTTCCCAGTGCATTTCTGCTTGCAAAGTTCTTTTTCTTTCCTGTGGGCTACACCAGAATAATGTCTGTAATGCTTATCCTGCTGTAAGCTACTACTGTTTCCTCATCTATTTTAGGAGTCAGGGTTTTGTCCCTGCCTGCCTGTCCTCACCTTCATTTGTAACTTCCCTTTTTTTTTTTTTTTTTTTTTTTTTTGCCTGGTTTTTTTTTCCTTCACACAGAGTTGCATTCTTGTTATTTTTTGTCTGCAGGGACCAGGGGATCACCTATAAAGTTAATGCAAGAGTTAATGAGGGAGTGTAGGAATGCAGGAAAATGCTATTTTTAGCATGCTTCATCTTATGTAATAATTTTTTTTTTCCCTGAGTGGTATCAAAATAGATACCAAAATACCAAATAGAACTTGGTTTCTGATAAACCTGTTTTATGTCTCAGTGTTTTACAAGAAACCCCTGTAGATACTGATACTGCAGCCACCATGATAAAAATAAATCCCAGGGATCTGGTCATTTGCACTTGCCCAGAAAAAACTCTTGTGGAAGGCAGCACCTTGGTACCACAAACTTCTCATGGACAGAGCTGAAACTTGGTTTGTGCAGCAGATTTCAGGACTGTGCATTTCAGTTCTGCTAAAGCTTTTATGTTGCTTTCCTTGCTTCTCTCTCGGCCTTTAGGAATTAAAACAGGACAGCAAACATCCTGCTGGGTCTGCATCACACATTCACTAGGATCAGGGTATGGCTTCCTCTGTCTCTAGTTACACTTCAAAGTTAAAATAATGATATTTTTAAGTTGTTGGGGTTTTTTTTTTTTTTTTTTTTTTTTTTGTTTTTGTTTTTTTTTTTTTTTTTGTTTTTTTTTTTTTTTAGCCCTGTAGATGCCTTAAACACACACATCAGTATTTCATAGCCCTTTTCAGCTCCTGTATGGAGATAATGCAGCTTTTGCAATGTTCTAAGGGAAACTAAAGAAACAAGCTTGACTAAATTGTGTGTGCACACTCCAAATCAAGTTAACTGAAACCCTGGGATCCTCAGTGGAAGAATGCATCAATAAATTTTGTGTGCTACAAAAACATGCTCCAAATCAAGTTAACTGAAACCCTGGGATCCTCAGTGGAAGAATGCATCATAAATTCTCTTTATTCCTAAAATTAGGTCATAATTGTCTTTAAAATGTCTACTCAAGCACAGTTTAAGCCCTCAGTGAGGACTTCTGGATGGGTCCATCCATGTTTGAGTGGTATTCCACAGCAGGTAGATATTTCTTCCCCAATAGATGAGTTATAAGTAAATAACTTTCTGCAGCATCTAAGGACTGAATCCAAGGCTGAACTTAGTCTCCACACTATTCCTTGCCAAGGGTTGCAGTGGCTGGTGAATTTTGCACGTTTCCAAGGGGGAGTCTTTCCTCATGGAAGAGATTCCCACTGAGGGTTATTAGCCCATTCTGGAGAGACAATCACATCAGGAAATCCTTGAGCCAAGAACAGCTGTGGGCTGGGAGAGAATCAGGGAGACATTTGACAGAAGCCAACCCTGAAGTGCTTTTTTTTGTGCATCCATCTCGCAGCCACTGTCAGGAGGGAGGACACTGCAGGGCAGGGACCACATCTGACCTGGCACAGATGTTCTGGGCAGCAGCTCCCTCCCTGCAGCGCCGTGCTGCCTGTGGGAAACACAGGAATAAAATACTTACCTGCCTCCCAGGGGCTTTGTGAGGCTAATCCCATGTCTGTGCAATGCTACATGAGTTCCAACCACTCTGTGAAGCTCCCTGATTAGAAGATTCCTCTCAGATTATCAACTCCTGTATGTCGTGTTTGGTAGCTGCTCTGAAGCCAGTTCTCAGGCCGCTGCTGTATTTTATCCCCACTTTCTGCTGCTTCCAGAGGAATTGAGAGGGAACCTCAGCACACACCTAAAACAGTCCCAGCAGGAATGGGAACACTCAGATGGCTGGTGGGTTTTTCAGCATCTGGCTGCTTGGGGCAGAGCTTTTTGTCCCCAGGTAGCACAGCCAATGGATCCATCTCCAAGCCTGGCCACAGATCCAGAGCCAAGGCAGCAGAGCCAGCTCAGCCCTAATGCCATGTGAGCACCACGCACTGCCCCTCATGTGCAGGAGCTCAGTGTCCAAGGGAGGTGTCAGAGGATGAACCACGCTCTGCTCCGTGGTGCCCAGCAGTGGGACAAGAGGAATGGGCAGAAGCCAATGCCCAGGAAGCTCCCCCTGGACATGAGGAAGAACTTTCCTCAGCAGTGACTGAGCACTGGGCAGATTGTCCAGACAGGGTGTGGAGTCTCCCTCTCTAGAGACATTCCAGAACCATCTGGACACAATCCTGTGCTGTGTGCTCTGGGATGACCCTACTGGAGCAGGGGGGTTGGACTGGTGACCCACTGTGGTCCCTTCCAGCCTGGCCATTGTGTGATTTAGTGATTGTGTGACCTGGCTGAAATGCAGGCCTTTGGTGTGAGGAGTAAATGAATGGAGAATGTAACTCAGTGACAACTTTCCTTCCTCTCCGTTCCTGAACTACAATGGCTTGCTCACAAATCAGTGGGTAGGAGTCCCAGGGCCAGAAGAGCTGCCTCGTCCTCATGAAGATGGGATGCACAAGGCGATATTGTATGGTGCTTCCACTCCCCATTTCCTCAGGGAAAGCCTCCGGGAGCTCTTTAGGAACCCGTCCCTGCCTGGAGCGCGGGGACAATGCTGGCTGCCCTCCTCATTTTGTCCCGGCGAGCGACCTTCGCTGCCCCAGCCCTCGGGACTGCCGCGTGTTTGGGCACAGCGACAGCCACGGCCACCAGCGCCTTGGGGACACGCTGCCCACCTTTCCCAGTGCCCGGGGGTGCCCCGACCCCGCTGCTCTCCCCATCCGCGGTGGGGGCGGGCCGGGGCGGCTCCGGCTCCATCCCGGCCCGCCCGCCTCCCGCAGCCAGTCGGGGCGGAGAGGCGGCACTGGAGGGCTCCTCCGCCAGCAGCCGGGCGGGCAGCGGTGCACATGGCATGTCTGATGGCGGCTTTCTCCCTGGGCAGCGCTTTGGTAAGGCGAGCCCTGCCTTCCCTCCGCGGGGCCGCGGCGAGCGCCGGGCGGGGGGCGAGGTGCGCGGCTGGGAGATGGAGGGGGCTCCGCGGGGAGCTCCCGAGACGCTTCCCGAGGGAAAAGCAGGGTCGGAGGGGTGCAGGGTGGAGGCTGAGGGATGCGAGATGCGGGGTGCAGGGTGACGGATGCGGGATGAAGGGTGCGGGATGAAGGACGCGGGATGAAGGATGCGGGATGAAGGATGCGAGCGTGTGAGCGGCCGGCGGCGCACGGCGGGACTTGACCGCTGGTTACCTCTGTCTGTAGCTAAGGCGGGGGGGATTATCGCCGAGCATGCTCGCTGCGCCGCTGCGCCCCGCCGGCTTCCCAGCGGATTTGCGGAGGGACCGTAACCTTTGCATAACAGCCGGGGCCGGCGGGGGACGGGGCGGGCAGAGCCCGCGGGACCGTCCTGCCGCCGCCACCGGCCGGGCGCTGCCGTCCCCGCTGGGCACAGGGAGCTCCTCAGCGGCCCCATAAACTACATGGGAAATAGCCCAAAGTGTGCAAAAAGCAGCTGAGAGGTGAGCGCGGTCCTGCTGCGAGCGCCGGGCTCGGGATGCGGGGCTGGGGCATCACTGCGGGGTGGCAGCGGAGAGGGGAGCGCGCTGCAGGTGTTGGGGCGTGCAGAGCGGGCTCAGGTGTGTCTGTGCCTTACACACGGCTTGGCTGAGCCTGTGCCTGTCCTAGCCACGGGGTTGCCCAGCTTTTTCCAAGCCAAGGTGATCCCGATAGCGGGATCACCCCGGCTCGGGGGGTTCCTCACCCAAGCGAGTGGTCCCTGGAGGAGGCAGGTGTGTGGACAGGCAGTTCCGTCCACAGAGTGACTGCCATTGTTTAATGTCCCAGTAAGAAAAACCTTTGGCTTCATACTCTCAGATGATTGAGTAGTCAGAGGCGAGGGTCTTGTCCAAGGTTCTTGTCTGGTTTCTTTTTGAATCGATGTAAACTGGAAAAGCTCTGACTGTCACCTAGATAATCAAGGTGACCTGCTCATTCAGAGTTCCTTTTTGGATATTCCCTGTGATTCTGTGAAGGTGCCCAGTGGTTCCTCAGAACAAAAGAGGTTATGAGTGCCAAAGTCAGCCTTGAAAACATTCAGGGAAGAATATTGTTAACTCACCTTCTCTTAGCTTTTAGGGAAGTTCCCCTGCTTTAATTCTTGAGCTCTAAGATGTTTCACATTACTCTTGTTATGTTCAAATTACATACCATGGCAGTGAACTATTTAAGAATTTGACAGTAAGTGTTACTGGATACCTGACCTCTAAGTAAGTTGAGAGCACGATTAAAATCTCTTTCTTGAGAAAATGTGGTGAGCAGAGCTGATTATTTTCATCCAGAACTTGCGGCTTGTGTGTGGAGAATGTGAAGATGGCAACTATGGAGTGGTTAAGCAGGAGTACTTTTTTTTCCATCAGTGATTATGTGGCACTGGAGGTTTTTTAAATGTTTTTGTCAGCATTCATGACAAGTGACTGATCTGAGCTGGGCTGCTCTCACAGCAAAGATGGGAAGACCAGGAACCACGAGAGGGAAATGGAAGTGGCACAGGCAAGAGGAGGCAGTGTCACTTCTTAGCTGAACTAGACAAATAGAGGGAAACAGTAGCAAGATCTGCAGCTCTGTCTGAGTTCATGCATTGAAAAGTAGTGCAGCACAGCTGCTTTCCAAGAGATAACTTTGTATTATGTGTCAGCATGGAAAGCCTGGCACATCAGCCATCTAGAGAAGTCCTTTCCAATACAAATCTGCATCAAAAATACTAAATTTCCTAATAGACAACTGTGCAGATGTTTGGCTCTGCTTATGACATTCACCAAACAACAGATGACAGCAAACAGCCTTTAAACAGAACTGTTCAAAATTCTGATTAGCTGAAGAAAATTCATGACTGTTTTTCTTTTGAGCTTACACACATCCTGCTCATATTGGTGCAAGGCACCTGTGCTGGTAAAAGGAATGGGAAAAAAAAAAATCCAAATTTTGTATGCATAATAAAAAACAAAAAGAAGAGAAAGTGGGTGGAAGGCTGTTGTCATGGCCAGGAGGGGAGGGCAAGGAGGTTTACTCCAAAAAGTGCCAAGTGGAATTGCACAGAGTGCTGTGATAGGCAAAGTGTAGCAAGAGGGATGGCTGTGAGCACAGGACATGGACCTTACAGTGTCAGTGGTGCAAGAACTGGAGCAGGGTTTGTGTGTTTATGTAGCTGATAAGATTTCCATTAGTTATCACTATCAAGCATGGGAAGCACTCAAGGATTTTGGGTGCAAAGCATTGTGCTTTCCTAAAAGACCTCCAGAAAAAAACTTGTACTGTCGTCCCAGGCTGCAAAGTTTCCAGAAGTATCAGTGCAGGAGAAAATAAGGCATGAAATAGTACATTTGAAAATTCTCAGAAATATAATTTCACCGTAACAGAAGCATAGGCTGATCCAGAGGAGCAAGAGCTCTTAGACATTTTGAGTGGCTGTCTTTGGAAAGGTCTGTACAAATAATTGCTCAGCCAGATCCCTTCCCCTTTCAGCTCTGTCCCAAGCTCTGGAATCAGAGTAACTAGAACCAAATGCCTTGAGTGCATGAGAAACCAAATACAATGGGGACTGAACTTATAAATGTATTAATCTGGTGCAAGATCTGAAAGAAAAACTAGTGCTAAAGGAACTGTATGTGCTGCGAGAGCTCTTTTACCTCTTCTGTCCAGGCTCAGGTAAAAGAACAAACAAAAGATTGCTTTATTTTACTCCTCTTTCACCTTTCAGCGCATTACAGCGCTGGATTTTTGTGCCATTTAAAGAATGGTGCAGAAGGGTTTGAAACGTGTTCCTAAACAAAAGTCTGTGAACTTTCTCCACTTTCCCTGCAGGGTGGCAGCAGCTCTGCTTGCACCATGGCCGAGCCAAAGTCTGTGTGTGTTTCTGTGGACGAGGTGGTCTCCAATGGCACGGACACCCAGGACATCCGGCTCTTCAATGGACACTTAAAAAAAGTGGACAATGCTCTGACAGAAGCTCACAGGTTCTCCTACCTGCCCCGCAGGCCAGCTGTGAACATTGAGTTTAAAGAACTGTCCTACTCTATCCAGGAAGGGCCGTGGTGGAGAAAGAAAGGTGAGGAAAACAAGGTTTCATCCACGAGAGGCTGTGGATGCAGCAGTTCATACAACCGCTTATTTCTGCCTCCCAATTCTTAAGTATCTGAAGTAAATATAGTATTGCTGTGCTGCCAAATATCTGTCCTGTGATCTTGCCTGTCTACAGTTTATTGTTGAGGGTGGGTAGAGCATGCAGGAGTTTAAAGATGGGGGTGGGGGAAGTGAGGAGGCTTTGTTTTTTACTCCTGCAATTGGCTGTTTTGTGAAATGGTTGTTTTCTCAGTACTCTTCCAGAACAGAGAGTATCTCAGAATTCCAGAAGGCATTAGACACCAGGAAAAAAAGCTATTTTCTTTAAAGGTTGTGTTTGGAAAGAAATGCCGTGAGCTATAGGTTTCTCTACAGCTTAGATGGGTCTCTCAAAACTTATAATTTCTGTGATGAAATCACTGGCTCGTGCTGGGACTGAATCCTGAGGTTCAGTCAAGGACCAGGATGCTTTTTGGGTAGCTCCTTTGCTGATACACACTGCAAAGAACTCACAGTCTGCAACACAGGGCACCAAAATGATAGATATGATAGATAGAAAGAAGGGAAGTTTGGAGTAAGAAGAGATTATTCACTTCTCTTCTCTATAGGTTCTTGGTTGATTCCAGTTCTAAAAGGTGATTCTGTCCTTTCTCCTCTGCTTGGCATCAATTCCTTTCATGCCTTCATTTGCTTTGTGTAACCGTGTGTTTCCTAGAGACTTTTTGGTTTTTTGGGGGTTTTTTTGGTGTGTGTGACTGGTCCTCTCTGAAGGGAAAACTAGGTCATGAAGTAAATTCCTGCCAGCGAAAAGAAGTATGCCCAAGAGAAAAACATTGAAATCTTCAGGAGAATTTTGTGTACTAAATGGCATAATTGCCCTTCCTCGAGGAACTCTCTCCCAGTAATGTAAATTGGTATGGTTGTGTGCTTCAGTTCTTTTTAGAGATAAGGCCCTGCCAGTGCAGCCCTCACCTGAGCCATGCTTGATACCTGCACTGGCCCTGAAACTATAAATCCACTGGCTTGAAGGTTCCACTTGAAATTGTTTCACAAAGTACTTGGCTGCCGTCTGTAAATTGTATCATTATCACAACACCAAGGCTTCAATAGTCTAAAAATGTGTGGTATGAAAAGCTCTGGAGCTGTTGCCATGAAAGTGCTACTGTATGCGGACAGGCTGTGCATACAATTATTCATTTGTTGAAAGATCTGCAGATTTCATGCTTTAATGGGTTTTTCAACATCAAAACTGTATGTAGACCCACTGGCCCTCTTTTAATTACTTGCTAAAATTGCATGGAGCCACATTGTCCATAGGAGAACAGCTTGGTTTGGCAGCAACTTCGCTACATTCAAAATTATTCTTTATCTTATCAGAATGAACACAAAACACTGAAGGTTTTTTGTCCTCCAAGAAATGGAGCTATGCCAAAATGTCTCATTTAAGATTTAAAAGCTTGAGATTTCTAACTGAATCTCTTTCTCACTGGCCAGAATTGATTGAGGGATCCTGTACGCAAAACCTCTGTTCAAATTTTCTGACATGCCTGGGTGACTTGGCTTGAACAAAACAATGCCCTGGCAGAATGTCCTGCTGCTGAAAATAACCTGTGGAGGTATTTAGCTCTGGGGTATGGTTCTGACTGTGTCACCACATTTGGGTTTGAAAGAGGAGGTTGAACCTTCCTGGCTGGCTGTGTGGAGGGGTTCAGATCCTCCTCAGCTGGTCTCACACCTCGTGTCACTGCTGGGACCACCAAGGACAGGCTCGGAGGGGCTGAGCTGCTGTCTGCCCGCAGGGCTTGGCTCTCCTCTGCCTGCCAAGGAGCTGACACAGACTTGGGAGGTCTGCACCCAGTGCCAAGTGGTGTGAGCCAAAGAGTGCTCTCACAGCCAGGAAGGTGAATCACACCGTGTGGCTGAGGCCATTCCCAGCCGGAGGCAAGCCCTTACCCTTCTCCTCCCTCATCACTGAGAGCACAGCTGGAATATTCTATCAGTCTGGGTGCTTCTTATCAACAGAGACATGGAGCTGGAAAGGGTCTCTCAAAGGGGTTAAATAATGGCTCAGGGGATCTACAGAGCAGCTGAGGAGGCTGGGCTGCTCCTGCCAGTAGTGCCAGATGATAAATCTCACGGGCCCATGGCCACACGTTGCAGTTTGGGTGGTTCAGGGTGGACACCAAGAAATAAATTCCTGTTCCCCAGCTGCAGCACTGGGATGTGTCACCCCGGGACAGTGGGGGACACGTGG